AATTTCTCTCATAATGTCCTAGAGATATTGTATTTTGTTATTGTAGTTTCATTTTTTTCTTAAATACTGTCTGAATGATGACATTATCTCTAAGGTTTGAGTATCTACTACCTGCTCTAATACATTAAAAGGATTTAATTTCAGCTGTATTTTTTATTTGACTCACTGTACCTTTTGTTTCCAAGATTTCTTTTCAGTTTTTTTTTAATATCTGTATCTTATTGTTGAATTTCTCATTCATATTCTGTAATGTCTTCCTTAGTTTACTCAGTTTTCCTGACTTTTCTTGGTATTCAATCCTCTTTTTTAAATAGTTATTATTTTGAATTATTTATCCAGCATTTTATATACTGCAATATCTTTTGCTTGTGAGTTATTAACCTTTGGAGATTTTATTGTACCACAATTTTTCATATTTCCAGTTTTGAGGTTAGTGCATCTGTTGGGGTGGATTTCTCTTCCAATTTTATGTCAAGAACTTTGCAGGGTACAATCTTTTCTTGTTGAAGTGTTTTTTGATATCAGGGTGTTGTAAATTGTTGAATACATTTCCAGGTGTGTTTAATAGTATAGCTTTCCTGATACTTGTTTTGCAATGTATTTTAGTATCTCCCCTCCTCCCCAGTGGAGGTAACCCAACACAATAGCTGCCCAACACAGGTGTGCAGTATGATCAGGGAGCCACCCATGGGAGCCCCAGGGTGAGCATTTCCTCAATTGGGAACAGATAAGGGAGAGGGAGATGGGGCTAAAGTTTGGAGCCTAACAGAGAGACCAGGAACTGGGAAATCTCCAGGAAAGATAGGGAGATAGGACCAAGCACTAAAGTCATATGAGCAGTCCCAAAAGGAGACCCATGAGTTGCAGTCTCCATGCAGGGACTGGTGGGTGCCACTCCCCACTTCCAGGTGCCCTGAATCAGGACCAGGATTCCAACCCAGGTTACCTCTACCATCCAGAGAGCAGAGACACCAGCTTACAACAAACAACCCCACCTATTGGATGAGAAGAGAAGTAGAAAACTCTAAAGCTAGCAACAAACCTGGTTTCCTCCTTCAAGTTGTTGTTTTTTTGTTTTGTTTTGTTTTGTTTTGTTTTGTTTTGTTTTGTTTTGTTTTACCCCTCTATCCTCTGGCACTCACATCTCCAACATAGGTGAAACCAAGAACTTTGCATGAAATAGAATTTGAGGATTGAGTCATCTGAATAATATAATATAGAGGTGTTGTATATTCCCTTTTTCTTTTCCTTTTTCTTCTTTCATTTTTCTTTTCTCCTCCAAATTTTACTATTTTAACATCTGTATTTTTCTAAATACATATGTGTGTTTGTTTTATGTACTCCACTGTCTTCCCACGTACTTGTCTACCCTAAATTACTTCCTGTCTATTCTCTTGCTACTAACCCTTTTCATTAGATTTCTATTTTGCACTTCCTAATATATATTAGCTCTATATCCTCACTATACTACCTCCTCAGCATATCGTCCTACACCCTACCCCCAGTTCATTCTCCACTGTCAGAAACTGGAAACCTTTTTATAAAACTACTGATTATATTTTAGATAATAATTGAATCCAACAATTCTGGACATTGAGATTAAATGGTAGAAATCTTAATAACAACAAATTGTTCATAAGTGGTATACTGTTGATATTGGGATCTGTTAACACTGCCCTTCCCCACAAAGGAGAGGTCTTGGAACCCTACAAGAGCACTCCAGACCCATAGAGATGGAAAGGAAGACACACGAGCAACATGAAAAGACAAGGGAAGAAAGTGCCCCAAACAAATGAAGACACCACATCATTACAATCATTGGAAGCCACAGAAGAAGAATTTACAGAGAAGGAGTTTAGGATATGCATGGTTAGAATGTTCTGTGAACTCAAGGAAGAGAGCAAATACAGGCAGTGAAAGATCACTTTGACAAATACAGGAAGCAACATGGAGATAGAGGTCCAAAAAAAAAAGAACAGAAATACTTGAAATGAAAGAAACAATAAACCAAATTAAAAGCTCGAAAGCATCACCAGCAGAGTAGACCACTTGGAAGATAGGACATTATACAATGAGAATAAAATATATAAAGTTGAAAAGAACATAGACCACACAGTGATAATGGTAAGAAACCATGAACAGAAAAGTCAAAGAAATATGGGATAGCATAAAAAGACCAAATTTAAGAGTTATTAGGATAGAGGAAGGCATAGAGGTACAAACCAAAGGAATGAATAATCTATTCAGTGAAATAATATTAGAAAACTTTCCAAACATGAAGAATGAATTGGAAGTCCAAATTCAAAAAGCCTACAGGATGCTGAATGTACAAAATCAAAACAGATCCACACCAAGTCACATTATAATGAAAATACCCAACATACAGAATTAGAAAAAAATTTTAAAAGCCACAAGAGAAAGGAATCAGATTACCTATGGGGGAAAACCAATTAGGATAATGGCAGATTTTTCAAACAGAGCTTGGAAGCTAGAAGATCCTGGGAACAACATATATCAAGCTTAGTATATTCTAATAGTGTGTATTGCATTGGAGCTCGAGAATTCCACTTTCTATGAGATCTCAAAACAGGGAGGTCATTTTGGTAAGTCAGGAAATTGTGTTATATATGGAAGGGCATTAGTAGTATACCCTCTGTGATTGCTTTTCTAGACTTGATAATTCTGTGTATATTAAAGGGGTATGGGAGCAATCTATTTTGAAACACTTCATAGATGTGGTATTCACAGTCTTTGTGTTATTTCTCTTTGCTTTTTCTATAAGAAAAGATATTAATGAGTGACCACTGAGTCCCTCTAGTCATTCCTGGTTGTCAATTTGTCCTATTCTTTGTGATGTTGTGTTGCTAAAGTTTGAGTGAGTTAGGTAATATATGGAGGAAAATGTGCTGTCTCCTAAATGGGTAGAGTGTGTGGTTCAGAAGCATAATATCTACCCAATAAAGTTAAAGTGTTATACCAGATCTCTAGCATCTCACAGAAAAAGAAAAATAAATAACAGCAACAATAGTAGCAAACAATACATAGCATTAAAATGAATACCAGATGCCAACTGACATTTTCAGCACTAATAGCCACAAAACAGAAATAGTGGGGTCAAAAGTTAGCAACAGCAAAAATTACAATCAGCCTATATCACTAATGGAAATACCAGGTGTCAACTATGACTTCCAAAATAATAATAACTGTAACAATGTGAATGGTGTGAGAATAAATTACATAAAATAGTGTTAAAATATGGGAAAACTTTAGTTCATTAAGAGAAAAAATGGAAAAAAGTGAAAAGAAAGATTGGAATATTATAAAGGACAGAAATAAAGCAAAATAGAGGGATAAAGTGATGCCAAAAAAAGAGGCAAATATGTAAAAAATGAAATAAAGTGGAGAGAAAGAGGGATGGGGTACAGAGTGAGAGAAAAAGAGAGAGAGAAGAGAGAGAGAGAACAGAAAAATTTTAGTATTAGAAGGAGAATATAGGAGAGAAAGTCACATAAAAAAAGAAGAAAAGAAAAGAAAGAGAAAAAACCTCATTAACCCTAAAAAAACAAAATAATAAAAAAAGAATCTGATAAAATATGAAAAAGATAATGTATATACATACATACATTCACACATACTTATTTATACATACAAACCAAACTGCAAATACAACTGGAAGAACAAAAAATTTGTTAACAACGAATGAAAGAATTATCTTCATTGTGGTGGTTGAAACTGACCAAGGATACATATTTACTACAAATGCCGGACTACTCTTCCTTCCATTTCTTCCTGGGGTATGTGCATCTTATAGCAAAGATTTGGGGATTATTTACCCTTTCTCCTTTTTTCTTAATTTAAATACCTGGAACCAAATATGGAGTGGTCTGACTCAAAGCTCATTGAAATGACTCTCAGGTTTTCAGTTCATCAGTACAAGGTAGTATGTATGAGAAATACCATCTGTTGGAAAATTGTCTAGAAAGTCTAGGTCAATGTACGCTTAGGGCAGAGATGAGGCAAAGATCTAAATGGAAAGTTCCCACAGTTGGGATCTATCCATTATTTGTCATATTCTTTGTCATATTCTGGAGATATTAGTAAAAGAAACCAATAAAACCAGGTAGATGGCAATCTATTCTGGTTGTCCCAATCCCGGACACTTTTTGATAATTTCACTCAGAGGGTAACCAAGTTCCCTGGGTGGAGGGGGCACAGCAGGTCACAGCACACTTCACCACCCAGGACTATGGCCTTCCAAGGCTCAATCCTTGAATGTAATCATGCCTGCCTATTTGGCTTCCTAAATATCTTCAGCTGATTAAATGAGTTGCCAGACTCCATGGGAAAGTAAGTCACACTCCTCTCTGTATCCCTGAACTGAATTCTCCTGGATGAAATCTTCTGTGTACCTGTTTCAACAGCATGTATTCTAGACCTTATGGTAGATACCATTCAGGATTCTGTGCCAATATTTTCTAATGGTTCCTGTAGCAAAGGTTTTCCCCACATCTAGTATGACTTCCATGAGTTGGCTTCCCACTTTTCCCAACTTGAGAAACACAGAGCACTTTTCAATCACCAACTCCAAGTGTAGACTCAGAGTAAGATAATTTCAGGCTACCTTTCTATTCTATGGGTACCTCCATGACAATTTTTTCTGATTTTTTAAAATCTTTTTGTGACACCCCTCCCCTGTGTCGTGTAGACACCACTGTCATGGCACTGATGTACTCTTTCATATCCTCTATTTGAAATATCAGTACTTCTGGGCCTCTCCAAATCTCTGACTGTCCAGTATTGAATTTTAGTGAATTCCCTTAATATCTACCTCACTGAGACACAGTATTTCCGTTAATTCAATTCAAAGCCACAGAGAAACTGGAAGGTGCAACCTTTCTCTACTCTACCATATTTGTCCCTCATGGCTAATATTTTTTGAAAGGAGGAATGCAATTACATCTTAAACATTTTGAAGTTACTAAACACCAGATGGAATTTACCTGAAAAAGCACAAGCAGCAGGTTCTCATAATCACTTTGGGTGCATGGAACAATTGAAAAATTGATGGTTTGACCTGGACTGCATCCAACTCCTTCTGTATGGTAGATTTCACAAACTTAAACAACAAAAACAACAAGCATTTATAATATGTCAATAATGGTCTGATATAGTGGTAAGTACTATAGGATGAGATAAACATGCTCATTATCGTTGAAACCTCTGACTCATTGGGAATATGGATGCTAAATGATCTACCTCATGTAGGGAGAGCTACAATGGGATTGGGGAGAATGAAAACTATCTATGAATAAAGCCAGTTTAAAGACTTAGTTTATGAGAGGTAAAAAGGATTAACCAAAAGATTTGCACTGTAAATTGAAAACAATGAAAAGGTACTTGTTTAATGATTTGGACTTTCTTCACTATTCACTGGAAATGAGACTTTTCCCTCATTGTTAGAATTAAAGTTTATCTCTGTAAATCAATGAATTTTATAAAGCTAGGTCCACTTTATGATTTGGTTCCAAGTAGACATTTTCTAGGTATTGTAGGCATGCTGCCTCCACTCATGATTGGAGAGTACAGAGTTACAAGAGTATAAAAAGTAGGGTATCTGTCAATGGAGTATGATTTACACCCAGGCCAGATGTTATAGCAGATTAAATTTGGTGAAATTCCAAGTGAAATATAATAGTTGCAAAAACATTTGGTTTCAGAGTTAGAACTTTTAGGCCTGACACTATTGTTACTTTATATTTTAGAGAAGTTTGGTCAATAGGTACCTAAATGTTCTATTCTTGTGTTCTATGGTACAGCAGGTATCTATTGAAAATGATAACATATTGTGTATTTCCAGAAATGCTAGAATAAAGAATTTTGAATGTTCTCAGTACAAAGAATAACTGTTTGAGATGATAGATATCCTTACTCCAAGTTGAACATTACACAATGTATCCTTGCATCAGAATGTCACATAATATCACCAAGTATGTAAATTTATTACACATCAGTTAAAAAGTGAATGTAGCCCATCACTTCTTACTGGAGTTATTAAAGATTACTCAATGTCACAATATAAATATCATCACAAGAGAAGGCACTTAATAATTTTTAAAATAGTAATACATTATTTCTGATAATAAAAATACAGTGATCTGTGCATGGTGGCACATGCCTGTAATCCCAGCAGCTCAAGAGGCCATGGTTGGAGAGTTGCAAGTTCAATGCCAGCCTCAGAAACTTGGTGAGACACTAAGCAACTTACCTAGACCCTGTTTCAAAATAAAATATAAAAAGGGCCTGGGATGTGGCTCAGTGGTTAAGTTCCCTGGCTTCAATCCCTGGTGCAGAACAAATCAACTCCCCCAAAGCAGACCAAAACAAAACAAAAACAATCAAATGAACAACAAAAAAAAACACCCTCCCCACAACAACAACAAAAAAAACTATATTGACTTAGCACAGGATACCACAGATAATTTTTCCCCTGAGCTCCAGTAAATAAATATTTTAGGCCATACAGGCAATGATTTTTATTTCAACGCCTTAATTATGATGCTGTAGCACAAAAAAAGGCATTCATTATACAAGATGAAGTGGGTTTGGCTATGTTCCAATAATATTTTATTTACAATAATCTCTGGTTAGTGGATGCTGTTATATCCTACTCACGTGTTTTATTCACTTCTCCAGTTTCTGGGAGTGTTGATGGCTGGTTCTTGTGGCCCCCACTGGGAATTTCCCTTAGATAAAGAAAACCTCTTCACCCAATGCCATACTATTGTCCTTATCCAATAACTGAAGGATTCAAGCATATTAGAATCATGCTTCCTTGCTTCAAGGCAGAGGAATTCTCATGGGCAATCCTAGTTCTAGTATTTCTTTCAAGATCTCCTGGGTTCTCTATTACAACTGCATTATACTCTGACTTTTATTTCTGCCTAATTCCACTTTTTCTCCTCACAGATAATGTTCTGAAAAAACACCTCAATAAACATTCTGCACACAAATCTCAGATTTCCCAGTTTTGGGGAAAGCATATCTATAATACTTGTAATTGTATGGTAGTAGTCAAATAAATTGATGCTATAATGAGAATCTAGAACTACATCATCCAATAAATATCCCATAGTGGTGGTAGCTGGTACATGCTGTTGTAATTCAGGTATTAAAATTTTCACTGGTGATAAACTGGGATGGGTTGTTTATGATCCCAGGATTTCAAAAGCTTTTATAAAAGGAATAATTTTTAGGACTTCAGAATTCAGTAGCTCTTGTAAAGTGCTATGAATGCATTTAAGAAAGACAATGGAAGACTAGTAGTGATTGACTACCAATCTAAAGTGGAATGTGAAAACCAGAAGATGTATATAAAGAGCAGTGTATAAGGAGACCCTCATCTTCCACAAGTAGAGGACAGAAAAATCTGAAGACCAAGACCCAGGACTAATGCTTAAAAATAATGTCAATAAAATCTGAAGATATGAACCTTGTATTGTTTCTGTGTGAAAGGACCTGGCCTTAATTGAGAAATAGAACTTATTTTGGGATGGTTATACCTGAGTTGAGGCATTTGATCCTTTTGAATCCCTTCATTCCTGAGTACTACTTGGCATGAAAAAATATTGACCCCTCCTCCCTGCTAAAATCTAGTACTACTGCCTGGTTTAAAGATAGTACAGAGGTTTATGCTTGCAAGAAAATACATAATTTCCCTGCCATGATTTATTACTATATTCCTCCTACCAGATGACTAAAAGAAAATATAATGTGTTTGGGAGGAGTTTTGTCTACTGAGAGGAAAAGTGCCTATATGCTCAAAGTGCTCAAGTAGCAAGCTAAAATCATCAGCTTGAGAGCACACATGGGGAATAACTTTTTAATTTCAAAATTTTATTGGTGCAAATAGAAATCATACAGAATAGTGGGTTTCATTGTGGCTTATTCCTACATGCACATAACATAATTTGGTTAATTTCATTTCCAAGTAACACCCCCATTACATTTCCTCCCACTTATAATTTTCTTTACTCTGACAGTCTTATTCAATTTTCATGAGATTCTCCTTTTTTCCTTTTTTCTATCCAGCTTCCACATATGAGAGAAAACATATGACCTTGAATTTATGAGTCTGGATTATTTCACTTAACATAATGATCTCACATTCTATCTATTTTTTTGGCAAATGACAAAATTTTATTCTTCTTTATGGTGAATACAACTCTGTTGTGTATAAGTATAGCATTGTCTTTATCCCTTCATCTATTGATGAATACCTGCTCCATAAGTTGGCTCTTGTGATTTCTGCTGCCATAGACATTTCTGTGAATGTATCTTTAGTGTATGCTGAGAGCCATTGCCAAGTAGGTATGATGCATGGCATGACCCAGGTCATTTGCAGTGACATTGCATGTAAGGTGACCTTGCTCAAGGACAAGGGCGGATCCAAGTTTAGGGTGTATCCTGCTGGGATTAGGGAGTATCCCCCTCCTTGGGTTTAGGGCGGTTCCAGGTTTAAGGTGTACCCTGCTGGGAATAGGGCATATCCTGCTGCCTCAGGCACACCTGCTCCTTGAGTTCCCATTGAGTTCTCACGGGATTCAGAGAGTATTTGGGATTCAGAGCCCGGTGGAGTGTGTGGATTTTGCACAGAATGTGAATTTCCCCAGAACGTGTTTCTAGAGTGCCGGTATGAGTTGGGGAATAAAGAATTGCTGTTTGAATCTACAAGGCTGTGAGTGGCTCATGATTTTGTGCCCAGACAGACTGCAGCATTTGGTGGCCTGTACGTGGAACGTCTGAAACTTAAAGGTAAGTGAAATTGCTCGCCCCTGAGGGAAGGTGAGAAAATGGGTGACCATTTCAAAAAACAATGTGTTCTTATTTTGATTTATTTTGTTTTTGTTTCAAGCTGCCTATCCCTAGAAATTTCCCAGGCAACCTGGGAAAAATGGTTAGCTAAAGGTTTGAAGTTTGTCGGCCCTGAGGAAGAGAAAATTGATACAACGATTTTTTATTCCGTTTTTGTTTCATTCAGTTTTGGTTTTGTTTTGTGTTATCTTATTGGGTTGCGGTATCTTTATAGTAGATTAGAAATTCATAAAAAACAAACCAAAAAGGTGTTAGGTAAATTGTTAGAGATTCAGACCATGGAGAAATGTGGTGAGCCGCTTCTGCCGTTTCTGTAGACTATGGTCACCATTACAAGATGGTGCTGGCTCTGCTGTGGTCTGTGACAAACAACTCCTTATTTGGGAGAGTTGGCGCATGGTTTTTCACCACCCTATGAGAAAGCTCCACGTGGCAGCTTCGCATTGGGGCTTGAGATGCTTTATTAAGGCTGGGAGGGGCATCCGAGAGGGAGAAGAAGAAATATCAAGGGCCTGAATAAACTGCTGAAAGAAGATTCCTGAGTTGCGTCTTCCTTGTGGGCAAGGGGTCGCGACAGAGAAAGACATTTTAGAACAAGCAAAAGAGAAGGTCTCTCGAGCTAGTCAGACAGAGGAAGAAAATTTAAAGGAAAAGGGGTTATTAGGAAAAAGGCTACAACAGGAGGCTGTTACTAACTCCGTTTTATCACCAGAGGGTGTAATTCAACCAACAGCCCCACCTATGGAGACAGCTGAGTGGCCCTCAAACCCTGTAGATGATAAATGGGATCCTGAGACAGGACCTCAAAGATTAGCATGCCCTGTACTTGAACAGGTAGGAGGTCAGCGAATTCACCGTGCTTTAGATTTTAAAACAGTGAAGCAGTTAAAGGAGGCTGTAACAACCTATGGTCCCCAAGCACCCTTCACAATAAGCATGGTTGAGTCCATTACTAACTTGGACATGACGCCAGCAGATTGGGCTAGCATATGTAAATCTGTACTAAATGGAGGACAATATTTGTTATGGAAGGTTGCCAATGAGGAATTTTGCACGGAGACAGCTAGGCAAAATGGAGCAGCCGGTTACCCTCAAAGAAATCTAGATATGTTGTTAGGAAAAGGACCTTATGAGGGTCAACAGCAACAAATTGAATATGATCCTGCTATATATGCACAAATTGCTGCAGATGCAGTTAGGGCATGGAAGACTTTACAAGGACATGGAGATTTACAAGGTCAGCTA